TCCCTGTATACACGCTTCTTTGTGTGTGGTATATAATACAGTCTTCCAGAAAAATTCCTTGGATCTAATCCTTTTCTTAGTAAACCCATACAGCCCTATGCTTACACTAACGTAACCGAGGAAAGAATTTGTTCCTGTAAGAATTGTATTTCTAATAAGAAGGAAGCAGAGGCTTTTGGCAAATAACCTATCTTGCAACTCTTATTGAACAAGACTAAAACAAAAAACATAAAGCAAAGTTGGATCAGAAGAGTAACAAAAGAGCGACTACACCGCAACAGACTAAACAGGAGAGTCATGCACAGACCATATCTACTTCTGCTGTGAAGATGATAACTAATCTGTGTAGGTAGATTTCTGTTTTCATGTGAGGTGGAATGGATTCTAGGGTGACTTCCCAATTTTAATAAAGGCATCCACTCTCGGTCCCAAAACTACATTTTTTGTAGCCAACTTTTATTAAAAAAATCTGGTAATTGTCCCTCCCAGTAACAAAACTTAAGTGGTGCTCTGTCTCAGTGGTTGTTCATTCAATGCAAGCGTAGAATCCAGCAGGGAATGAGACTCTGAAGAAGCCCTGGATGAGAAGAGATTTATTCAAACATTTCAGAAGCATCAACAGAACAGATCAATTAGAACAAGGCAGGAGCATAGTAAATAATCAAACAGTTGTTTTGTGAATAAGAAAAGCTAATAGTTTAGTGGAGAAATTATTTAAATACTATGTATTCTTCTCTGTTTTATCTTTGTAGGGAGGGTTGAAATGCGTAGAAAAGGACTGACTGGAAGATTTACCTTCCAGGCCATTTTTGCTTTCCTCAGTCATCCTGGGGTTTCTACTGATTCTGACTGGAGAGAAGTAGACCCATGCGATGATCCCTTTTCTATTGCTTGTAGGCGAACGCAGCACAGAGTACCTGCCTCTGAAGCTCTGCAGGTTACGGCTGCTCTAGGAAGCAGCAACTTCCATTCTGGGGTCAGCAGGGACCATGCTGTGGGCGAGGGGTTTCTTGCCACATGCTTGGCTTTGCAGAGTTCATCGTAATGTGGTGATCTGTGGCACAGTAAATGTAATCTTGCTATCTTCTAAGTTCCTAGCTAGGTAAATTATAGTTCAGTTCCTCACAGAATACCGAAGGTGTCTAATCTTGTAAGAGATGGGAAGCATAGTCAAGCTGAAGGTTTTTGGTTAAATTCAAGTAGATACTGAGGGAAAACTTTCACCTGTTCTCCTGGCTCCAGCTTCTTGATAACCAGTGCTTCATTGGTGCTGCAAGGCTACTGTTAAGTCCCCCAAAGCCTCCTCTTCTCCAGGCCACTTCCCTCAGCCTCTCATTTTCTCTCTTCTATCAGCAGAATTCATATATTGGACTAATGCTAAAAAAGACAAATCTTCATTTTCCTTTAGAATTAGTATTAGGAAACAAATATCTGAACTGCTTCGAGCTCACTGATTTTAGCAGCTGCAGGTCTGACTCTGAGATAACTTCATGGAGACTTAAAGAGCTAGAGTGAAAACTGAGGGCCAGATGATAACCTGTCCACCATCCAGCAATTCCCGTGTTGCACTAATTTTCTTTCTGCACTAATGCTGATTCTTTTACAGTTCATATTGGGTGATGGAAGAAAATATTCATTGATTCTGTACAATGGTAATAATAATGATGTAGGATGTAGTTGCTCTGTTCTTCCCCAGATGCAAATAGCTCATCAGGTCTCCACCCATTAACAGGAACCTGGGGAAAGCTACACTAGGAAAGGAGGCCTTTGCTGTTCTAGGTTATAATTTGTATAACTTTCCTTACAACTACCTGAAATGGAAGTGCCGCCTTTATCTTCTGTTAGAAATAGTTCTTCGTAATAGCAGAAGATGCAGAAGGTTTCCAAGACCCAACTGGGTGGAGTATTCAGGAACTTAAACGTGGTCCCTCTGTGAGCAGGAGGTTGGACTAGAGACCTCCTGCGGTTCTCTCCAGCCTGAATTATCCTATGATTCTATGATGTTCATTCTCCTGAATGAAAAATAGCGTTTTTGTGCATATATATATTGCAGTTATTTATTTTTTTAATGGTATTTACCAATCACATTTGACTTAGAAAACATCAAAAAATCCATTAGAGCATTGTCTGGGTGGCTTTTCCAGTTCCATCATCTATTTTTTTTTCCTGTGGCTTCACAGGAGAATTTGACTGGAGAGATCTACAAAATGCAGTAATATTTCCTGTTTTCTACATAGACTTTTAAAAAAACCTGTTGGAATTGGCCATATTTCCATCTTGCTCTCTTTTTTGGTCATTACATAATAATACGCATGAGAAAGTGCATGTGAGAGAGTCTTTTATAATTTCGTTCTCATTCAAGTAACTTTTCTCATTTTGCTTCAAGTTATCATCATTATGAATGAAAAAATGAAACCACAACTCTTCTATAGACACATACATTTCGGTTTCTGTCGCGGGTAGTTGGTGAGCAGTCAGCTGTATTCCTCAAAGAGTGCTTGGTCTGTTTCTTACATTTGTGAGATGTCTTTTAGGCGTTATGATTGTAATATTTTTAATGTACTAATGGTTACAAACTGAGTTTTGGGGTGATCTATTTCACACTTATTTGTGATGTTATTCTTTTGCTTCAAATAAAAAGTTATTGATGATCAGTTTCTTCAGATAAATTTTTAAGACAAAAACTATTTCCGATCATCAACTCTGCCTATTTTGCCAAGGAGTTTAACATAGTCTGTGCCATTGATGTCAGCAAGAATAGGATTAAGGAGCAGGATTTAATTTACTTAGCTGTAACAGAAGTCAGAAATAGCTTTAGCAGTTAAATTACTTGTGGCAGAACTGTTTGTTTATGTCCCTAATATTCCTGTGGTATATTTTTGAATGATAGATCATTTAAGCTGACTCGCACATCTGAAAGATTAACATTTTACCAATATTCATTTACCTTATTCCATATTCTTGTTAGTGTAAGAGGCAGTTTAACTGAAAAATGAATGCTAATAAAATGCCTTTTTAGTAATTCATTTTGAAAACCATTTGACCTTAACTACAATGAAAGTAGACTGTAAAAATCATCATAGATTCCCTTCCTTGAACTTTTCACAATGCTGAAAAATGACTGAGGGAAAGAAGCAAGATCCAGTTACTGTACCCTGTTTGTACAGCTGTACTTCATTGAGTGGAGGCTTGTGTTACACACAGTTTGTGATAGGAAGTAAATGCTTTTAAAACAACTAAGGAGACAGGTCTTTAACCTCCACCTTTTCAGATGCTTTGTTCACTCATTTAGCTTCTGTCGAGGTCTTGGGAAACATTTCAAATACAAATTATTATTGAGTACTGAAGCTCACCTGAATAATTCATCTCCTAGTGAGCTCAGTAGGCAGAGATGCATTAAGATGTTGTTGGGGTTTTTTTTTTTTGAGAGAGATCCCTAATTCTTGATATAGTGAACACTTGTTCCTTCAGGAACAAATGCATTTAAAGAAGAAAGAATTCTCAGATTGAGTGTTAAGTGTTTTATGATGGTTGAAATTACAGTTTTAATTCAGCAATTGTAAGGATTTTCAAGGACTTAGAGAACATTCAAAAATGATGTTGTCATGTAAATTACCAAACTGTCAAAATTCATTAGATTTAAAATTCTCAGTTTCTAGCGTTCAAGACTGTTACCTCCTGTTACAAGACTATCTAGTCCCCTGAAATGGTGAAGACACCTTGAGGTTCATTAAGAGGATTTTTTGGCATTACTATACATTGCAAGTACATATTAATCACCAGACCTAAACTATTTGATGTAAGCTTGGCACCAGATAATTTCAGGATTTTAAATACGCATTATAAGATCATTCTGTGAATGCGATTCTAATATCTGCCAAAGGCACTTCTCTAATTGCTCTGGTGAAACAAGTCGGTGGCAATGGGAGTGTGCAGCTGGCGGACAGCCAGTTCACTTTTAATTTCTGTAATCAGCTGAGGCTTTGTGTATACTTCATCCCTGGAAACACATGTGACCTTAAATTTAGGTTTATGCTAAATAGGCATTATTTGGGCTGCATTAACCACCCACTTTCTCATTTTGCTATAATTAAGGTCATCCTCGTAGCTATACATCTGATGGCCATGAACATTTTTATCTTAACCTCCCATTTAAAACTGTCCAGATATCAATATACAATGCAGAGGGGCCACCCAGATCTGCACTTAATGAGAAAATGCCTTGAAATACAATCAGGATTTTGAAGTCGTCTTCACTGCAGTGCATTAGAGGTGACATGCCTTCAGAGGACATGGCTGACACTGGTTTTGCCCTTATTCCAGCAACTTTTTTTGAACTGTAACACAATAGAGCCACTGCTCTCCTTTGGCTGGGTCCAGAGTTCCCAGCAAGCAACGATTTGTTTTTTTTGACCGTTTGTCACTAGTGGGCAGGCAATGGCTGTGTTTTGTGGTCTGTGGTACAAGTGGGCTTGAAGATTTACGTGTTCCAGAAAACTGTAAGCATAACAGCAGACACCAGTTAAGTTGTTTAAACTTGAAGCGTAAGATTTTTGGAACATTTTGTGCCCCCTTCCAGTCTTGAAATGTAACTTCAGTAAACAAATGCAGGCCTGAAAGCATCCTCAGTCCTTGTCCCTCTGAACCCCGTAACAGAGCTCCTACTGACTCGTGTTATCAGGACTCAGCTCAGGCTTTCGGGCTGTTTAACTCCCATCTCGCGCATCCTTCTGCTCTTCCAGCAATGATTTTAGTTCCTGCCACAGCCTCGCCCTCCTCAGCATGAAAGTTACATTGACTTGTGTCCACTTACTGACATTTAACCCAGCCTACCCAAACTCAGCTCTGTACATTAGGTTTTACTACCTGCTATACTGTGGTAAAATAGCAAAGTGTAAATTGGGGAATTAGTTGCTTTTAGCTTAAGAAAAAAGGCCTTGGGAAACAAATGTTGCTTTGTTCTCTAGTACATACCTCATTAGAAATTATGTGTTTTGCAGAGGTTAATATACTGTGGGCAGCACACCAAGTACATCATAGTTCTGAAGATTACAACTTATTCACAGCCTTGAGACAATCTGTACTGCAGAAATACACCTCCTGGGTAAGTTGCACAAGGTTTGACAAACAAATTAATATCAACAAGATTTAGTAAAAGTGAAAACGTTGTGTTTATTTCCCTTTGAAGAAAAACATGTAAATTATTTAAGATGTTTGACACTGAAAGCACAGAAGTTGAAACTGAAGAATCTGAGAATCATAATCTTTAAAAATACATTCATTAATGTTTTTACAGCAAACTTGAAAAGAGATACAGTAGTTAAGTTTAAGAAGGCTAATTATAACCCTGCATTTATGTTTTCATAACTTTTTGATAAAATGGGACAATTTTTTTCATTTGGTTATTCATGCATAAGTACAGGAAAAGATCAGAGTATAGCACAACTACTCTAGAATATGTCTGTATAACTGAAAGGAGAAGGGAGAGAAAGCATTACTAAAGATTGCTTTGGACATGCAAATGTATTTATTTGTCTCTGCTCATTCATGTCACGTTTAAGTACTCCAGTACGTAAGGGCAGTATGCCACTACTTTTACCTAGCGTTATTTCAGATATAACTTCTTTTAAAAGATGAGCTGTGTACATATGCAATATAAATTAAGACAAGTACTCATTTACAGATTTAAAAATGTATATTTCTGAATACATTCATAAATGTAACATACTATTCATTGTTTAGTTCTGGGGCCGGGATAGCTGCTGATTTCCTCAGTTGCGCTCTCATGTTGTCTCTTGACTCTATTTTTTAACTCAGATTGTAGTTTGGTTGGTTGGCTGTTGTTTGTTTTTAAAAAAAGAATAATAACGTCAAAATTTGAATTTTTAGAATTAGAGTTCAAAAGCAATGTTCAATGTATTTTTGTATATATAAAACATACAAATGCTCTTCTCCAATGAGGTATAATACTGGTGGTGGAGTAAACCCACAGTCCTCTGGCAATCTCTACAACTAGCCTATGAGCAAACGACTCAAAGCCAAAAGTGTGTGCTCACATGCGCAAATCCAGTGTAACTCCATTAACTTCAGTAAAGTTAGTCTGGATTTATGCTCACATAACTGAGCATGGACTTAGCCTGTTGTTCATAACTGTTTCAAGCCCATGACATTAGATGAGTTAAAGTGCTAGGTTCCAAAAAAATGACTAGTTCTTCTGGAAATTGTGAAACAGATACTATTAGTTTTGTTTCTTAAAGTCTTCTCTGTAAATTCTTGTTATTTTTTTGTTTAGAAAATAGTCATCTAATCTAGTAGGAGTGCCTCAAATTTAAATGGCCATAATGAACAATAGCGGAAGGGATGCATCTCTGTCACAACTCTGCTTCCTATGTAAATACTGCCATGTTAAAGATTTAACCTTTGCACGTTTACCCATTGGGACCATATGTGCAAATGCTTAAAAAAAACAATAATTCAAAAAAGACAAAAAGCCTGTGTGTGCATATGGGTGTGTGCATGAGCACTTTGCCTGCCTGCGTGGTTTTGAGGATGATACCTCAGAGAGCATAAAATATTCAGGAAGGCCAAGATGTCTGGCCACCTTAGATTCTGAAGACCATCCTCAGGACCGCACTGGTATCACTTGGCAAATAATATATGTTCATTTAAAATTCATTTGCTTTGAGCAAAGGGGAGCCAGCCTAGGAATCCGTAATACTTTTGTGTGCAGTGTTTTTTCCACCAAATATTTGGTATTAGCCAAGACATTTGATTAATGTAAATATTGGTTTACCTCCCCCTAGAACTTTTGAGAGGTGTGCCAGTTTTCTTTCTCCAAAGCCTTACTGTGCATGAACACAATTCTTGCTAATTCTTAATAGCACTGCTATTTTTTTGGACCGCCAGACTTGTCCAGAACCCCGTGGATGCATCTTCCTCGAAGCTGAAACTCAGTGAAGCCTTTAGTTACTCCCTGAGAGTGATCTGATGTTGTTGAATGTGTACTGTTGAATGCAGTTTGACATGCAGTTTTGTGGAGGCTGTGAGAAAGTTGTGGTGGATGATGTGGGATTGTGGGACTGTTCTGCTGCCAGCTCTGTATGTGTTTTAAGTTAAACGTTATAAGATAAATAAATCAGCATATTAATCTGTGTGGGTTGTGCTCGAGCTGATTGAAAAGATGTGAAATGAAAGAGAAGAGAAAAACATGCCTGAAGTACAATCAGTGGTGTGAGATGTACTCCCGAACTTGGAACCAAATGTGTATTGCTTCATGTCGTTTGCACACACAGCGTTTCTGTTACTCCAGTGGAGGGACCGTAGTGAAGCAGACCTACTGTTAGGACTGAGAGGTGGGGTCGGAGCCCATTTTGTGGGAAAAAGATGTGGGAAAAAATGTATATTCATTTTTAAGATGAAATCAGCAAGCTAGTGCTATATAAATCTTTGCTTCTGATGAAACGCTTAGTTAAAGCGTCATTGTGAACAGAGAAAGTAACATACACGCCTTGAACAGCTACGATTTAATGCTATGAGTACCAGTTCTTAACTCTCCTCCAAGGGTAAGATTTGATTGCAAATAACAGATCCATAATAATTTGATAGCTTTAGACTATACGTTTAGATAAAGGGTTGAATTATGCCTTGTTGGTTTAACAGCGGCAGAAACATCCGTATATAAATCTGGAAAGGGAATAGGTAACACTGTTCTTTTCAGCACCGAGTCACAAAGTTCACTTCTTACCTACGGAGGGGTCTGCCAGGTCTGGGATCTGTAAGGGAGGGGGCTTTTTTCCACCCTGACCCTCAACTCCTGCAGAGCCCTGTCAGAAGCATAGAGCCCACAGCCCACGTGAACGAGGCGCGCCCCGCCGCGCCCCGCCGGCGAGCGCCGGCCGCATCGCCCGGGGGCCCCCGGAACCCGAGACCCGCCGGCGGGCCCCGGCCGCATCGGCAGGTGGCCCCAGAGACCCAGCGTGGAAACGGAGGGGCTCGGGGCGGGAAACCCAGCCCTCCCACTAACCCGCCGGAGCTTCAAGATTTTCCCTTTCTGTAGCGGAAGGGTTCGTAAGCTTTTGCTTACAAACGAGAGGGAGAAAGGTAGAGCGTGCAGCGGGCGCACGCCCTTCAAAAGGGGCAATGCCTTGAGCGTTAAGGCGCGCAGCTGGAGCGCAGCAGCCCCAGGCAGGAATCCCTCTCCACCTCCTCCATGAGCGCCTTTCCCGTCAGGTTATCAGTTATTGTGGCTCGCTCTCAATCACTGGCGCTGAATCCACAAATGGGAAAAGATCTGTGAGTGTGATAAGTGTTCTTCTGCAGCTTTGACCAGAAATGCCATCTTGGAGCCAGGAAAGCTTTTCCTCTACAGATTAGTGAAAGATGGTACATTCCCATGTAGTTTTGATTTGGTGAATTGGCATTTCCAGTGAAAAACTACGTAATGATTTTTTTTTCGCCCCCTGACATTGATCTTCTTGTTCCAGTGGAACCACAGATAGGACAAACCAAATCTTTTGTATGGGAGATGTTTTCATTCTTCCATATGGGTTCTACTTTTGTGAACGATCTTTGAAATCCTTTCTGTGCAAAATAAAGCTTACATTGCAAGGAAACATGAGACAGTTAGGAAAGCCTTCTCCTTTGTCAGTCTCAAATTTACCTGTAGATTTATATAAAATTTTCCTCATCTCACCACTTAGCGGGGAAATCCTAGTACTCATTGTGAGATGTAGGTTAGAAAATAAATATGAAGATGATCCTTCCTTCCCCTCTGAGTCATCTGTAAATATCACCAAATTGCCTCTGATACTTTTAGGGGAAAAGCATACCATTTTTAACCCTGCTTTAAATCCTGCAAAGACTTCCATGAATAATTTTAAAACCATCTGTTTTTTTTTTTTTTTTTAAATCAACTTCCTCTCCATTCCTTTTAAAAAATTTCCTGCTCTTATCATGCCCTTAGACAGGTACAATCAATAATAAGAGAAAACTGCGGTAGCTTTACTTAAATCTGGCCATGTGTCCAACTTCTTCGTTGGCTTCTTTTTAAGATAACCTTTGAGAAAAACCATGCCAGCCTTCTGGCTGTTGTGGGACAAATATCTCTCAGTCTCTTTTTTTTGTAGCTCCCCCATTTTTAATAATTAAATACTAAGGGGGTCAAGGTTAGAGAAAGGAGGAAAAAGGAACTCAGAAAAGAGATTGACTCCATGCCAGTGTTTAGGGCATTTCTTCTAAAGTATGGGAGGCTTGCACTACATTTCTGTTTCAGAGCATGGAGAATCGTGGGTTTGAAAGTCACTCTTCTGTTTAGTAGTCTTCTGCACAAGGCAGTCTGATCTGCATTTTTAACTGTTAAAAAAGTCTCATGCCCACCTTTACTCCAGAATTTCATGCCTAAATGCCACATCCCCCCGATGGCATTCACTAGCTTCTACCTTAGCTTAGGTAAGAGTTGCTACCAATTTTTGTGAGTTTACTCAGGCCGAGTGATTCTTAGGGATTGAATGTGCAAATTCCACCTTCCAAATAAATTTTTCTTTCTTTTTTTTGTTTTATAAATATTATGCAAACACTTCAGCCTTTGAGGATCAGACTGATTAAAACAAAACAGCTGTTTACATTCTTTTCCCTACGTTCCAGAAGCTCAGCATAGCCCTTCTACCACCTTTGAATTCCTTGACTTCTTGGAAAAGAACTTCCAAGACACTCAACCAGAAACACTCCACATGGAGTTTGTGAGGCAGCTGTGATCCATGAAGCCTTTGAATGTAGCTTTTGAAATCACAGCTGTCCCAACCCTAGCAGGTGATGCTGAAACTGCAGTGACTTCAGGATTTCTTTCTAGTACTTCAGTTGTCGTCTGGTGTTGAAGCCAGCAGACCGAGCTGGGATTGCAGGGCCTTAGTCCTCCATTGGCTCGTGACAGTGAGAAACAGCTGTGGTGACTTTCTTGAGAGCATCAGTCACATCATGGGGATGGAAGTGCATTTGTTTCACAGCTCCAGTGTGACATCTTACCTATTGGGTCGGCCTTTTGACAAAAACTGAGGGGATATCAGCATTAAATGCTATGTGCAGACCTACACTAAAGGAATTCCGGGCTCAGGAGGCCTGTCATGGCTATCAGATTGCTTTCTCTGATGTTCAAAGATTTGATTTTTGTGAGAAGGACAATAGGAATTTGAAAACAGAGTTTGCTAATTTTGCTGTGTTTCACAGGGAGGTCTTATGTGCTACCCAGATTTTCCCCGAGAGCTGAAGAGACTTAAAGTTTTGAAGATACTTCTGCTACTGTTTGGTTTAGGAAAAAATCTCTGTATTTTAGGGAAGGATTAACTTCTTAATGCAGCTGTTATAACACAACGTCAGGTAGAAGAAAAAAAAAAAAGATAAGCCTTTTTCTGAAGAAAGCAGACTGACTTTTAACATGTGAAGGTCTTGGAAGTCTTATTCTATTGCTCAGCCAGTTAAGCAATTAATTGTGAAATTCCTGGGACTTTACTCTGTATGTAAGTTACCAGTGCCTTTCATAAGTAAGCAGTTTTCTGAAACTGTTTTCATGCTAGCACATCTTTAGAACTCAGCAATATATCGGGGCTTCAAGGGAGATGCCATGTGGAAGTTAGGGTGCGAATTTATAATTAACTTTGAAAGCCCAGTAAGCTGCCTTGCCCTTATGGTGCTCACGCAGGGAGTTCGGATGGAAAAGCTATAGTGTTATAAATTCACACCTTGCTTACTCTGTGATAATTCTTCCCTATAAGGGAACCCTTCACATCAAGGATATGTTGCTGTCTGCTCTGTATAGTACTCAGAATAAACTTCTAATCTCAGGATTTCTGAATTCTTTTCTTGATTTTTCTACTTGCTCACATTATGAATTTTGGCAAATCACTTTTGCAACAATTTATGTCTCATTTGCTATAGCACATCTAGTAGTAACATAATAATCAGTATCTATTCTACATAATGTCTACATTATGGAGGTATTAGGAGAAGCAATTATCTTGTGCAGTGCTTTGAGCTCCTGAGATAGTACTTTGTTATATCATCACAACTTTAGAATGATATATCTAACGTATATTTTCTTTCCAATTTTTCAGATTTTCAACTTGCCCATGGCTCTTTTCATTCCCCCTTCAGTGTTTGCTGTTCATCTACAGTTTAATCTACTTTACCAGTTTTGGATACATACAGAGGTAAACCAGGTTTTTAAGCCATACCTAAACAGTTAGCCTGGAGCAGTGTCCTGGAAATCCACTAGCAGCTGATTTATTGTGTAAGAAAAATCTTTGTCTGACTTCTTTAAGGAGAAACATCTGTTCATTTTTATTCCTTTTTCTGAATTAATATTGCTAAGTTTATAAGAAGCAATGAGGCCAGTTGGTCCCAATTACACTTAAAAAAAAAAAGTAACCGTAAGGAATCAAAACTTTTTGCTATTTTAATACTATATTTTCCTTTCTTGCAGCTTATTAAACATTTCTGGCAGATACTGAAACTGATTTCATTTCTAAGATAAATATTTTAGGGAAAAATATCCAAACCCCACTGCTTCTTCAAGATCATTTAGAGTTGCAACTGAAGTCAGATATTGTTTCCTTCTTAGGGCAAGTAGTTCTCAGATGAAAAATGCTCTTTGATTATCTGATGGCTATTTGTTTATGACTGCACCTATTTATTTGTGGTTTGTGAGTGCATAGACCATATCCAGTTTGCATACATATACAGTTAATAACCCATTGTAATTAGTAAGTAGTTTCCCACACTTCTCAGGTAGTTGAACGGCCTTCTGCCTTCTCCCTTGCAGTACCGTGGAGGTGTTTAAAAGTATCCCATGTTATATGTCAGTAGCATATTTCTCAGTAGCCCCTAGTGGGCTGCGGGCTAATTGTCTCTACAACACTTACTCCTTTGATTATTCTGATTATACAGATGCCTTTTTCCCTCTGTAGTTTCATTACGTGATCTATAGAACAATTCTTTTGGAAGACAGTTTTATTTTCTTTATCTGCTATTTTAGGTGATTGTATTGCTTGAATTACAGTTTTTATTTTCTCTTTTCTGTGTGTTTCCTTAAAAAAGAATTTAAAAAAAAAAAAAAGGAAAAAAAGCTACTTACAGTGACCCAATAGCAAACTTCTGTTGTTGAAATTTCACTTCTGTTGGGCACATTTCTAAAATCATTAATACATGTCTGATACTCTGCAACAACCACATGAATAGGAAAGGCTTACAATAAAATGTCACACACATCACCAGAACTGGCATAAACTCAAGCAATACACAATTAAGCTTGTCAAAATGTTTTGAACAAATTTGAACACTTTGAAATTATACCAAATGAATATTCTGAATCACATGGTAGCAAAGTTTCTTTGACCATGCCTTAGGTTCCCCAAACTGGTTTTACTGTGTTTTATCACTAAGAAAAATATAATATGCCTCATTTACCTCTTCTCTGCTGTCTGAAGCCATTTCGTCCTTGGCTGAGATGTGTTCTGCTGTGTAACAGTAACCCAATGAGTCTCAGCACTGGTGCCACAGTGTGCATCTAAAGTTTCTAAAGTGAATTTCAGAGACTTATGAATCACCTACATCCCTCTAAAGCGCTAAATCCTTCATAGGGCTTAAAAGGAATTTCCATAGCATATGTGCCATGTGCCAAGTTTAGACACTAGTCTAAACAGGAATGGATTTCAGTCTCAATTAAAAGATAAGCACTCCTTAGTATTAAATTATTGTGCCAGTAGAAAAAGAATGGATCTTTTGTACTGATCCAGTTGATCCAATCATAGATCTTTGTTTACAATGGAAGATATTCTTAATGTTGATGTTGTTGATTTTGTAGCACAGCTGAAATCAGTTTAAGTATGTTGAAGTCATGCTTTAAGGTCAAAAATGACGTCAGGATAGAAATAGGGTTACACCACGTATTAGCAGTTGGCCTGCTCTCAAGGGCAAGGGCATAACAGACAAGAGAAGGGGGAGGAAGGGAAATAGTAGCAGCTATTGCAGCAATGCAGGTTTATATTAGCCAATATTTTTGGTGAGATTAATATGATGCCTCATCATTATACTGGGCGTTTTTTGCAACAACTGTTACAATGAAACTGTTTAAAGCTGTGGCATTTCTTTTTTTTTTTTTAAGTCCTTTTCCTGAATTTTAACAGTTCTAATTATCTTACACAGATTATAGTAAAATGAAAATCCTTTATGTAAGTCTCAGTTTCCAGCAGTTTCCCAACATACGAGATTTGTTTGGGGCTGCAGGCCTGGAGTTATATAGAAAACAGCATCCTGTCTCAGTGACTGCTGCTAGCCCTTGCTCTGAGAGCTGAGATTCATCATCCCGTGGCAGCTCTGGTGTCCTCTGGGAGCCCGTGGTGGGTGCTGTTACAGGGTGGCAGTATGTGTCATTAGGGGACTAGTGGAGATACGCTTCATTATTTCTATTCTGCCAGTGCAAGATGTAATAGTTTGCTTCTAAAATGCAGGAGCATTTGATAAGAAATGTTGTTTGTCATTAGACTTCTATTGCTTTTAATCAGTATCGATATTTCCTTAGGCAAGATTTGGCCCCATATTGACTAGTCAAGTATGTTTGGAAATCGTAACTTCACAAGTTTTCATTACACATCCTTCTCCTTCAGTAAAAGAAAATCTAGTAAGATACAGTAAAAAATTCTCTTTAATAGGTGATTTTTTTCATAACACTGAAAAGCTTAATAAAGGATATGCATAATTTATTGTTTTATAAAAGAAAAAAACCCATGATATTTAAGTAATAGGAAAGAATGAAAGTATATGAAAGTTTCTGAGGGAAGACGTTTTGTCTTGGGAGTAATTTAAATTGAATTCAGTAATTACAAGAGATGGATTGTGCTGTGCTGAAACTTTCTATACCATGTTTCAGCCTAGAGCAAAAGTTTATAGCCAAAGTATGATCCCTGATATTTTCCTATACTTTAATTTATAATGTGTCCAGTGCTGTTTCAAACAATGCTGAGAGAAGTTTCCTGTGTTATAACTTTGACCTTCTTCAATATTTGTTACGTCAGTTTTTGTCCAACTTTCCTACCAGGAGATCAGACATGGTCTATTTTATTTTAACTCAAGTGGCTCGTATATTTCTGTGAAGACAGTATACCAAATCATAAATATAAAAAGTACCCACTCGTTCTGTCTCATAAAGATAAAAAGTACCCACTCATTCTATCTCAGTTACACTTCTTTATTTCTTGCATAATTGGTATGCGTTAGCTTTTGGCCTTTTATATAAAGTAGTACAGCATTTTAAACACCGTAAATCTTATATAAAGATTATACTATACCATTCTTTTAGTAATAATAAAAGATCTTTAGCACCAAAATCAGAATGGACTATTGATACAAGAAAGGCATTGCTGTAATTAATAAAGAAAGGTTGGGTGTGCTAGAGTGAAAACACGACTTTGTGACTTAAGTTATGCATTTGCATTTAACTATATTCTCCCATTACAAGAACTTTGCTGTCTGAAGTCCACTTTTTTTTCACTGCTTCTGCACATTATTGCACTGTGTACATGGCAATCTGACATGATATCAAAAATTTTCCAAAGATTTTTTAAAAATCTCTGAGGAGCACCAAGGTATCAAGGTATTGAAATAAACTCATAATAGTTTATTTAAATGAAAAATGAAAAAAAAAAACCAAAACGAACTGAAGAAAACACTTTTCTGTAATAGTGCATAAAGATAGGATCTCAATAAATCAAGAGAAAACAATTTTTGGTCCTATCCAATACTATTTAGGTCAATAGAATAACTCAGTCAGTAGATCTGCTCTTAAATGGTCTGGGAGAAATGTTTCTATGACTAGACCATTCTCAGCTAGATCATAAGGAGAGTAAAAAAAAATACTTTGGTCAAAGAGCACTAAAAATCTAATTTTTCAAAAGCCACAAAATGTTTCAGGACTGTTACTGACAGATAGAAATACTCCATTTCAGTTTATTTTCACAGGTGATTCGGAAGGTCTATGGCTCATATTAAACTATATCCTTCCGTTATGCATTTATTACAACCAATAAGTTAGGTGTGTTTATAACCTGATAGACACCTGTGAAAAACAGAAATTAGTTTCTGTTGGTTTAGCTGTAATTTTTATGAGATGTCAAATTGTATTTGGAAAGTATCAACTGAATCAATCCCTGTTGGTAGTAATTGCAGCAGCAGATTATTCCGGGCCTGTTTGATCTTTGACATGCATTAGTTTCTGTTTAATTTTCTAATTTAAGGAAAGACTGTAATCTGCCCTTTACCATACTCATGGAAGTCAGGTTTCTTAAAGCATCTCTTTTTCCTTTGTTTAAGTCTTCCTACCTCATCAAACTCTGGGAGCAGAAAAATGTGAGCCACTGCTATTAACCAGGACTAACATGGGTGAAAAGAGGTGAGGAATGGGAAAAATTTTGGCAACACCTGATGCAGGCTGGAAAAAGAGACGTGAAATTGCTACAGATATAGGCCAAAAAACATTTGGTTTTATCAGAAAACACCAATTCAGTAAAACTGAAACTTGCTGTGGAAGTATATTGTATTTGTAAAAAAATATTTTGCACTTATGTGCAGTGTGTACTAATCTAAGTTTCTGTCTATGACTTTCTTTAGCTTTGACTTCTGCTCAGTTTTCTTTAATGGAAAACATTGAAAGAGAGAGAAATCGTGGAGGCTTCACGCTTTCATGAAAAGGACTTCTGTTCCTGGCAGGAAGCCATGCACAGACCATCGGGGCTCCCTGAGTACAGGTGAGCTGTTGTGGCCCAGTCCTGAAGTCCTTACATCAATCAGCTCTTACCGAGGAAGATGGCCAGATTCAGAAAACAATCTTCTATGTTTTGTTTTGGGTTTTTTTTCCAAATATGAGCATAGGGTCAATAAGGAAATTAAAGAAGCAGATTAAAGAACCAAGTAAAATTAAGTAAAATGTGTAAAAAAGTACGTATTTCTTTTAAGTAGCAGTACCCGTGTGATTACTGTAACAATAGCAAAAGCTATTCTTGAAACTCTAGAGGACAAATGTGCCTTTTTAAGCAGAAACTATTTAAGACAAAAGTCTATTGGATGGCGGTTAAAAGAATCATAAAACCTTTAGGACAATGTGATAAATAAGTGACAGCATGAGACAATAGATAAAATACTCATTTATTAATTCCCA